ATATCGTCGACAATAAATAGACAGCATTCAGTAAAAAGGGCACAAGCAACGGCAATGAAAAGCTGCACCATGCGCCCACACTGCTCCACTGTTTACAACGTTAATCCGATCTCCCGCTGAAGTTAACGATCAGCAGGAACCCCAAGAAAATGACAGCAACTTGTTTTTCATTTGGAATAAGACTGAGCTACACTGTGGCAGTTGCTGCAAATCACACTTTTATTACTAAAAGTATCGTTTTCAATCAGTAAGAATGCGAACCAAGGCGGTGTTGAACTCACCTTGCTTTATGTGAGGTTGCTGTGCACTTGGCTGTTGCTATTGGGAGGAAATGAAAGCGTTAATAAGTTGTATCGGAACGGCTGGAGACGGTAACACTGCTGGTAATATCACCGCAGGGCTGAGTTAGGTGGTCACCAATGTAACTTCATGATTTTCCATCCATCTTTAAACTTCGTTTTGTTTCGCTTGTAAACAGAAGCAACTGCACATCTTGCTCAGCCCATTGAGTATAAGCCGGTAAAACTTGGCGAATCCACTGTAAAAGCCAAAGTTATTTACATGCGAAGGCCTTAGAGTTGGGACCTGGCGCCATTGAAATGTAAGTTTGTATCTTCTGTCTTCTGCAATACTGTCACAAACGGATATGAACGCTCGGCCCCTCGATCCTGCTCCGCCTCACAGTGAGGTCTGACTGTCATCTCAACTCCACTTTCCCACTCAAAATCTTTTTCCCCTTGTTTAATCAGAAACTATCTGCCTCAGGTCTGAGGAAGGGTCACCTGATTTCTCTGCACAGATGCTGTCAGACTTGCTGAGCTTTTCCAGCGACTTCTGTTTTTGTTTCTATCTGCGTCTGCCTTAATACTAAACTATTCATCCTGTGCAAAGTAATAATATTTCATTTTGCATCAGCACCAGATCTTACCTTCCTAATCTTAAAAACATGCTAAAACTGCCCGGTGAACGTGCACTCAAAATAAAATGCAGACAGACCGGGTGGTGTCAGAAGGTGCTGCCTTGTCAGACCGAACTTCCCCAGGACCGCACTTGAGCTCAGGTTGGGACCTGGGAGCTAAGAAAGATGCCCCCTCTGCCCCCGGGTCTGGGAGCTCAGGGTGGATGCCCACATTCCTAATGCCGTCCCTGGGTCCCTTGGAGTCAGTGTCACCCCAAATGGGGTGGGGGAGAGGGCGGATGGCAGCGGCTGATCCCAATCAATGGGCATTAGGGACAGGTGCTGCGGGTGTACGGGTGGGGGCATCGGGCGGTGTGGGCGGGGAGGAATTGAGGGAAACATTCCCTGGGGGTGGGGGTCCCGGGTATGAGGGATGGGAGTGTGACTGGGCGACAGTCCCGGGGGGGGAGCGGGGAGATT